TCCCATTTTTCCCACTGCAACATATTCGTTAAAAGAAATATTTGAATTCTGTTCGTTTTTTAAGGAGGCATTTTTATATTTTTCCGATTTTGGCAACGCCTTATTCAGGGATTTTCTAAGACAGTCGCAGACAATCAGCGCACGGATGTACGTACAAAACATGCTGTTGTACTACCGGCGACGGTCGCCTGCAAGAAGAGAGCTCCAGTTCCTAACGTAAAAGTTTTAAAATTTCGACCGGTTTTAAATAATTAGTGTGGAAATCTGACATGTTTAAGAGTGCAAAATTAAGGTGCATTTTGGGCGGTCGAATTTTCTGAATAGAAATCGGCAAATGAAAAAAATAGGAGTGCTAAACAGTGTGCTTCGTTAGTTTAAAAAAAATGGAATGTCCGTCAAATTGACGTAAACTTCCCCATTTTTCACGGAAAAAGCAAAGGTCGTGGCAGAGTTGAAATTATTTGGTTGTTTTCAATTAATTTTAGCGTACCTCTGCAATTTATTTTAGCATTGTCAGTTGTTTGCTTCATTGAATTAAACGGAGTTCGTCCGGTTGCAAACAAAGCTGTCTCACACCACCTAGCAAAACTTGCGAATGATCGAAGTACAGGTACCCATTGGACAAAAGATACACAAAAGTTTGTATCTCCCCGACCCAGTGCAATATATCCGGTTAGAATCAAAGCTCACGTGCCCCTTATTTGAGGGACCAGATTCTGCCGTAAATTCGGGATGGGATTTAGAAAAAAAATAAAATGGGACTTTTAAGGTGTATTTTGGCGTCATTTTCTAAGTTTTACCGTAGTAATTGACGCCTATTCAAGAGTATGATGTTTATTGTGACTAGCGTGAATGGGTAAGCTTCGTTTCGACAATGAGCAGTTATCACTGTAAACAATGTTAAATTATTCTTCACATGCTCAGTTTATTTTTTGAGAACAATTATTTAAAAATAAAATCTCTCAGTCAATCAGAAACTCGGATTCATGCCTTCAGGGAAAGTCATGTTTGGACGCTCACATCGATTTTGTTTTTCGTTCGGTGGGCTGATGCCTTCAGTGTAGCTTTTGCCTCTTCCGACATAGAAATCATCTGAATCTTCTTTCTACCTCTTTCTTTTCACACCAGGCATAATGTAATTATAAAAATTAGGAAAAAACGCTGAGGAAATATAATGTTTGGTTTGCTAGCGACCCGGGGCTAGCGAGCGAGAACTGATTTGAGAATAATTGCACATGCGCGTAATTGAATGAACTATGACCCGTACAATCTCGATTTGCATATTGTCAATCAAAGGTCCTGTTATTTGGTTACTCATGCAAATTAGGCAATTGGACATAAACATTGCCATGTGTGAGTGTTTTTTATTTTTAACCAGAAAATAAACAGCAATTTTAACGGTGTTCCAATAAGAATTCATTGGTCAAATTTTCACAGAATGTTCTTTAGATAAAAATCTACATAAAAAACGAAAAAAACTATTTTTGATTGAAATTCACAAATAAACTGCATCTCTACCTTAAATACAACAGGTTTATTGTATGCCCTGCTGTTCATTCATACCATATGACATTGGAAATGATCATTCTAATGTGTGTATTTGCTGGGAACTATAATACAGAATCAACATAGCTCAGTCTTAAGTTCTACCTGCTGTGGTTGATGTTGTGGGTTATCAATAGTTGAGAAAGAATCTTTTTTTCAAGTCAAATTAATATAATTTTAATCTAGCTAAATTGCTAAAAACATTGTGAAAATATACTTTGTTTTAAATTAGCGACATCTTTAATTATGCATTATCTAAATTGCCTAAAATACAGTATTTCAGTCTAATTCAATACAATCAACATTTTTTGTGTTCCCTTGTTCTTCTATTTGAGATGTGCTTTTAATAGCGCTAATATGGTGTGGTAATTATTTTCTTCATTGGCTTTCCATTTATTTTTTATATTTACATGTACATGTACGTAATTTTGAATTTGTGTTTTACTACATGTCAGTGGTGATTCAGTCTAACCCAAACAACCCAGCATTAAATCTGGATACATTGCTGTTCAAAGAAGATAGACAATATGTTGGAAAGGTGAGAGTATTATTTCATGACCAGCAAATATATATAAAATACATTCACAGTGATTGAACCAAATACAATAGATGAGTTTCAGGTTTCCTAGTTTCTTAGTTACCGTGTATGCAAAAGAGGGAGGTTGGGGGGGGGATCAATGTTGATTCACTTTGGGTCATCAAATTACACATTATCATATACCTGGTACAGCATGGCCTTGTGATGCTATTTTCTCGTATCACACTTTCATCAATAAAAACAAAACGTGTCATTTTAAATTACACCTCGCAAGCTTGGGTTCTCCTGCCACATGACCTGAGGCCACAAAAGCTGTATCCGGCCCATAAAGGTTAGAAGAAATTCTTTTCATGTCACCATGAAACTATAGCTTCGTGGTTATACATAATAAAGCGGAATATTTTCATGCCAATTATAACCAATTTTCCAATAAATTATCAGTCTGCTTTTGCCTTAAGGTAGCGGGACTATTATTTGCATACTTGTTTTCATCTTCTAATTGTGACTAAATGACTACAAATAGACCCGGGCAAGTATATATTTTTAGAATCGCCAGACTTCAAGCTTTTCACAAGTGTATTTTGCATGCCCGTATCTGCATTCTACGACGCGTTACTCAATCAAAGGTGAAAAATTACTTTTTCTGTGAAAAAAAAATTACGCATTTATGCTGGTGATAAGAAGTATTTTTTTCACTTTTCCTAGTTGTTCAATAGTCTGGTAAATTGAATGTGTCTGGTTAGTTTTATTCAAGCAACGCGTTTTAAAAAATAGTGTCCTGAATTTCAATTACTGTTTTAGACGCATTGCCCCCAACTCAAACCACAACTCGTTGGTAAATAATCGATGAAATAGTTTGTCTGGACACATTCAAGTTCCTCTCATTGTCACCTTAAAGCTGTGAAAATTTGGTGTTAATCCGACGACAATAAGTATGCGTTATTTTTTGTTAAAGACCTTGTATTTTGAAAAACATAAACTCCTAGAAAACGTCCATGAAGTAACAGCAAAGATTTTCAAGCTTGTTTATCGGCACAATCAATTTGTTTTCCCATCAAGGTCTGTTTTAACATGTGTAGGGGCATCCAAATGTGTAAGGCTATTGGAAACCAAAAAAATAAAGGAATGGGATAGCTATAATTGGATAAAATCGGCATATGAAAACACCAAAATCAATGATTTTTTTCAGTGGCTGTGTGACCTTGTGTCTGACACATTCATATGCAAATGACTAATCTGTGAAACAAACAGGGGCGAAGACAAACCACTCAAATGTTTGGAAACACTCATTAGTGGCGTTCACGTTAGAGATCTCGGCACGTGCTGAGACTCGGGACCGAGTCGGCACATGCCGAAAATTGTGTGTGAACGGTCGGGACCGAGTCGGCACGTGCCGAAAAGAACTCGATCTCGGTCCCGATGGATGCTTGGGAACCAAACTCGGCACATGCCGAGATTTGCTGCCTGAACGCTCGGCATGAGCCGAAATCACGCCCTCGGTGGTAAATTTAAGAAAAACATAAGTTGATTGATACTAGCATGAAATTACGATGACAGGAAATTCGGATATACTAGTAGATGGTCGGATGCTGTAGTAATGAATGCAAGCCGTCATCAGCGACGCATATTTATGTGCTGCTACAACCTCTATTTTCTTGCACATTTTACATTGATGTGAAAAAATAATTATGTTTCGAATCTTCTTTGCCGTTCATGTGCACGATGGCTCGTAATAAACACCATTGCAACAAATGGATATAATTTCACTATAACAATTATTATTATCGTCATATGCGTATCGTTTGGGCCAACAGATCGACGAATGAGAGCGTGATTTCGGCACGAGCCCAGTCGGTCCTAAGTGGGTCCTGAATAACGTGAACACAACTGCTGTAATCCCTCTGCAAACACAACTGATTAAAAATTTCGGCACGTGCCGAGATCCCGTAACGTGAACGTAGTAATTGTGTGTCAGATAGCTACTGATAACACCATCCTAACATTGCTTT